CTTCAGCTGACCGCTGTGGGTAGACCCGCCTTAACCTGGATCCCTACGGTAGTGTGAGTTGTGTGTGTGTGTCTGGCATCTCCAAGGAACTGTATTTAAGCCCTCCGGGGCCTAGAGCATCCCTTTTGCCAGTCCCCAGAACCCTGAGTCAAGCTCTTCCTTTCTCTCCAGATTCACAGGTCAAGGTGGTGGCTCAGAAATATGTTCTCACTGCACTACCATTTCCCCAAAACCTCAAATGAAGACAATGACACCAAGTATTAATAGATAATCTACTCATGAAAAAGAATCAAAAGCCTATTTTTCTTCTCATAAGTGGCAGTAGTTTACTATTCACTGAGTGTCAGCCAAAAGTTGAATTCTGTCCACATGACGGAGAAGCCCAGCTCTCTGCCTGTTGAGGTGCTATTTCTCTCACCTCCCCTCTGTTTTCCTGAGTTTTCACTTCCCTAATCATCTGTCATCCTGCTAGCTTTCTTCCTTAACCCCCCTCTCCCACATTCTCCCTCAAATCTGTGCTAAAATGATCCAGGGGCCTCTGACTTAGACCAACAAGTATAAGAAACATAAAGGTTGTAGATTTTCTTGGCAAAAATCGGGCCATTCCCTGGGGGGGAGGGGCAGTTTATATTTAACTGTTACTTGGGGAGACAGAAGGCTTCAGATGGAACTCAGAAGGCAAGGCAGAAGCTTTGCCTCTGCTCTTGTCTGCATTTATCAGGGTGAGGCGTGATCAGGAGTTGAAGTACCCCAGGTCAGAGGCCAGAATCTAGGGCTCGCCCAGAGCTGCCACTCTTATCTTTTTTGTTTTCATCCTGTTGCATTTCTGGAAGCTCATACATACCTACCTTCTTTTTTCCTCTGGTCTTGGCTACTCAGCCTTTAAAAATAGCAATTTTAAAAAAGACAACCAGACAAGCCAGAAATAACTACTGGCTCATTGGACCTTTGAACAAATATGGCAATATTGACAAGGGAGTTCTAAATTCAGTTTCAGTCTCGGGGTTAGTCGCCTCATGAAGGATGGTAAGGCCAAAGGACGGAGAACAGAAACTGAAGTTAGCTTAAGAAAACTAACGAAAGTCTTTAGAAATGAGAGGAACAACTGGTGTGCCACTGAGCTTGGCACTACTACCCCGACACTTTGCCCTTAGTGAGGTTTAGAGGTGTCTGAGGGAATACCCTGCCAGCAGTTCGTCTCTGTTACCCCCAACCATGAAGACAGGAGAGATAGCCTTGCCTGAGACTGGGATCAGAGGTCACAGAGCACTGAGTGCTGAAGACTGGCGATAACAGAGGTGTTGAAGGCAGTGTGAGGCCAGGATAGTGAGTGGTTAGGCAGGCTGCCAAGATAACCACACAGACCCCTCGGGAAGCCCACAAGGGGGGCCCATGTGGAGACCAACTCAGGGGTCACGTATGTAGCCAAGGAGTGGACACAAGAAAATATGACCTTTAAGATGGATAGAAAGAGCATAATTAGAAACCCAATGGAAATAAAAAAGAGGCATAGCTGTTTTCTGCTTGCATGCTCAGAAAGCAAAAGCATCAGGATCTTTCGAATTAGGGCCACAGCCAGTTGTAGTCAGATAGGGAGACCTCACAGAGGTAGACATTTCCTGCTGCCTACCTGGGCATGGGAACCAAGAAGCTGTGTGAGTTCAGACGAGAGAATGGGAGACTGTGGGGTTGGCCCAGACCGGACTCCAGAATCCAAAGCTAGAGAAATACCAGTGCCAGAGGGGAGACGATGGCAGCAGAATAAATCCTCATGCACTTAGGTTAATAGTCAAGGTCCTGAGCTTAAGGGAGAGGGCCCACCCCCGCCACTGAGGCTGGACTTAAGTGAGTAGTGAAAATCCAACAACATGGTGGGTACCCTCAGGGTTACATGCCCTTGATCATCTCTAAGCCATCATTATCATCATCAATGACATCATCACTTCATTTTTGATCATCATCATAAATTTTAAAGCTTTGTAAGCTCTTTAGACCATCTCCATTTACTAATGAATTTAAATAGCAACAGCAAAAATCCCTGCTCCAGCAAACTGATGCGTTAATAAGCAACTAAATTCTCCACTACGTTGGAAGCTACTGGCGTCCCCCCATGCCCGGGGCCAGTGTACCCCACCTCACAACTGCTGTGAGCTGTGGCAGCTAACACTTCACAGCTACCCCCTTCTCTAGAGAATGGCCTTTGGTGGAAGGGGGGCCTTGTTTGGGAAATGCCCAAACAGCCCACAGACAATGACAGTCTGATAGGAAGAACTCAGGTTGGTTCTCCAAGTGAGAACAAAATCGTGGTGTTACTCATGCCTCCCAGCTCCCATGGATTCCAGCAGAGCAAGAATCTAGCTGAGTCACATCCTTAACTCCTCTACTCATTACTCTGCCTCCTTAACTCCCTCTCTCCCTCTGTAAACTAGGGACAACTGCCTTTAGAGAATCTAAATTCCCAGCCAGTCTTCCAGTGCCCAGACACTGCCTCATTGGAACAAAATAGTGATGGTAACAGTCTTGAACCCACGAGCACTCAGAATCTCTGAAATCAAACTCATCTGAGCCCCACATTCCTTTAAGTCTTGACCCCCAAGGTATCCAAGTCTTAAGGGTCTCTTGGCCTAAAAAGGTTGCGAGGGAAGTAAAGGGCAGGGGCTGTTGCAACCCCCGGAAAGGCGCTTCTAGGCTAGCATGTGTGGACAGTACCTGCCGAGGATTTGGGATCAAGGCCAGCACCTCACAAGGAAAGAGTAGGACATTTCTTGGTAAGGGTGAAGGAGAAGCTTTCTGGAGGAGACAGGCAACTGAGGTCACCAGTGTGAAGTGGCCGGGGAACCACACGCTAGAGTTACCAGCTGCTCGACCTCAGGCCTCTGTGTCCTCAAGCCACAGGGACCCTGAAAGGAGAGCCATGCCCTCTGGAACCTGCGCAGTCTGCTGGCAAAGACTAACCTCTCACCCAGGTGGCAGAGAGTAGCATTTGCTGAGTGCCTTGACTGGTGGATAGAGGCTACAGTAGGCCATCAGGAGGCAGCCTTGAGGTCCCTGCAGTGGAAGGACCTCACTACTCTCTTGATCAGCATGAAGGTCAAAGCGAAAGAACATTTATTAAGCCCAGACCACATCTACCTCATGGGGTAACTCTGTGATAAATAGTCTCTTCGCCTCCCCCCCCCCACAGGAGCAATTTAAAGCTCAGGAAAGTCAAGAAAATTGTCACTTCCCCTCCTCTTCTGAGTCTTTCCATTGTCGTTTAAATAAGCTTATCTCCCTCCATCTTAAAATAACCAAAGCAAGTAAACAAAATAAAGCAAAACGAACCCCCACAGGCACTCTGGCCCCTGAGCTTCTTCCAGTTCTGCTCTGTCTCTTCCCTACTCCCCTTCATGAACAGTGCAATTTTGAGAATCCGTCTTCTGCCCTCTCTCTCTTCTCCTTCCAAGTCGGTCACTCCTGTACTCCTTGCAGGGTGGCCCAGGTGCAGGCCGCTGTCCCAGAGTCCTTGACAACGCTGCCAGGACCCAGCATCTCCTAGAGCGGTGGACCCATGCATCCTTTCCCTGGCCCTATTTACTTGACTCCTGTAGCCTTTGAACTCACCGGGCACTTCTTCACCTGGAAACACACACTTAAAATTTTACCTTCTGTAACATCTCATTTCCCAGCTTCCTCTCTCACTGCATCATCTACTGCTTCTCTGTCTCCTTTGAAGCACCTGGTCACTAGAGTTTCCTTTGGGGTGACTCAACTCTGTACACACAGCCCCTCAGACCCTGCCAAAGGAAGGGATGTGGAAGGAGGAATGAATGAGTGGCCAATCTGCCAGCACAAGGAGGAGTTGTTCTCCAGATCCACTTGGATCCAACTCCCAAGCTCCTGTCTGACCCACTCTCCCTAGATGAGAGTTCTCCAGTTGGAAGCAATTCTTTCATCCAAATTTAATGTTCACTACAAAAACAACTGTACAACAATGGGGTGAAACCTGGTGAAGCTTTTCTGTCAGACACACATACCCGCAACGACACAGATACTCTCCATGTCGAATCTACAGAGTAATGAAAACTGTAGCAGTCTGTATACCCAGCCAAGAACAGGCCAGAATTCCTGCCGAGCAGCTGCCTTGCAGTGAGAAAATAAACACCATTTCAGACACACAAAACCTGCATTTAGCTCTCATTCTACTGGGGCCAGTAAACAGTCCATTTGGCTGGCGGGTGTGGCTCCTAGCTTCAGCCCTACCAGATGATACGAAGCCAGTTTATTAACCGTGTCAGGGCGGATGCAGGTCTGCTCTGGAAGGTTATGTTCGACAGACAGGAAGCTTGGGCTTAGGTCTGATTTTTCTCGGACAGGTGAAGGATCAGAATTGCAAAGTCCTGCGTACCACAAAGTAGCAACCAGGAGGAAGATGAAAGTGCTAGAAGATTGCTCAAGTTGCTTCTTGTACTTGTCCGCCTGTGACTTTTTGTTGTTAGAATGCAACAAAACAAGTAAATACAACGACAGGAAGCTTTCAGCAGGTTTTGTAACAATTTGGCAAAGACTTTAGGTCCCCAAGTCAACCAAAAAATTGTGTTTACAGATGCAGTATCTTTGTTTGCGTTAATACTCTTTATTCATCTTCATTGCATTTTACTAACAATGACTAGAAAAGATGATTTAAATGGTCCACAGAGTTTGAGAAATGTGAAACAGGCAACAACAACAATAATCAAAACTATTCATTGAAAGACACTCCAAACAGAAAAAGAAAAGCCACAGGATGAGCAGAAATATTTGCAGCTCATTAATTAAAACCCTACATTATGTAAATAATGTTCTTTACATTATGTAACAATATTATGTGACACTATTATTTACGAAACCCGGGCAGAGATGTCCTCATCTCCAGAACAAGGGTCCTTGTGAGAAGGGCCCCCACATTCCCCCCTTGGGAGGGAGCCCCTGCTCACAGCACGTGGGTGCGTGGAGGTGGCCCAGTCCCAGGGGTGACTTACCTTTCCCACAGGCCTGCACCAGGCCATACCACTCCCCACAGCTGTTACACAGCAAGGTGAAGGCAGTTTCACGGTGGCCTGTGACATGGCCAGGGGCACAGACGTACAGCAGCTCATCACCCATCTCCAAACCCGTGCGTCCCTGCAGGATAGTGTGTGGGAACGAAGGTGGGTCTCCACATGGCTTCTCTGAGGAGAAGGAATCACAATCAGCTTTCTAGAACCAGGCAGAATTTTTTTTAAAAAAGATTTATTTATTTATGCATATAAGAGCTGGAGTGCAGGCCAGAGGTGTGAGGGTGGGAGGGGGTCAGCGGAGACACCAGAGACAGAGTGGGAAGCAGCACAGGCAGATCCACTGAAATACACTGCTGAGGGCAGCAGGCGAGACAGGAGAGATCTGCTGTGCCATGTGGGTCACCTCCTTGGCTGGGGATCAAACTCGTTCTGTAGCGGCTGCTGAGAGCTTCATAGTGCTGAGACTTAAACCCTTGTGCCACCAGGGAGACCCAAAGGCAGAACTTTTTAAGCCTGTGGGCACTGCCTGAACACTGGAGGGAGTGAGTTTGTGGATGTGGGAGGGGGGCTGTGTTACAGGAACTGTTTCTACTTCACCTTGGCATCCTCTGGCCAGACAGGATACCTGGCACAGGAGAGGCCCTCAAAAACTACCTGAGTGATAAACTACAATTTAGCACAATGTGCTACAACGTTATATTTTAAAATCTCCAAGCAACATTACTCTCTAATGTCCTTGGAAGGAGGACTCAGAGTCTCAAGCTTAACAGCAAGCTCCTTCTATGCCTTATTGACATGTGAATGGGTACTCTTTGTCAAAGGTTAAAATGTTTCAGACCAGAGAGGACAGCAGAGGTACCTCTCCCCTCCCTCAACTTCACTCTTGACATAATACTGTTAAAAGTTTGGAATATACAAATAAACTTGGCTATACATACAGGCTCACCTATGTCCACAGAGAGGTGTATGGTGTCTGCACAGAGGTAGGTAAAAATACAGAAAAAAGTACTTTGCCGTACATGTTTTAACATATGTATATTTTTGTTAGTATCTTATTTTGTTAGGATAAGCTGTAAGTGGAATTGCTGCATCAGAATGATTCAGTGATGCCTTTTTTGCCCCCAAAATGAAAATAACATTTAAATCAAATTTCCTCTCCTAGATTTTTATGTTGGAAAGGAAACTCTCTAGTTCTCATGCAGTAAAATTACCTAAGACACATAGAAAAGCAATTTGTCAGATGCTGAGGAAAGATGACAAAAGAAACTGCAACTTGAACTTGAAGTCACCCTGGCTGGTGTAGCAGCTTGGAGTTTTAGTAGCATCTTCTCAAAAAGAGTCATTGCTCTCTATGTTGTTTAACATGAGGGGTTTTGAATGAAAAAGCTGAGCTGTGCTTCAGAAAGTCAACACAAAATGCTGCGTTTTAGTCAAATCACCTTGGTCTAGGAGATCAAGGACTTATTTCATCCACACCAAGGAGGAACAGGTAGCCATCTAAAGTGATACCCACAAATCCAGGGGTACCACCAAGCAGAGAAGAAGGGCCCTGCATTGCCTTGGTCTGAGAAGAATGGATGAAAGCCAAGTCAGGTTGGACTGAATCCCAACTGCTATCTCAGAAGCAAAAGTTTCCATCATTCTCCACCATCCTCAGCTACCTACTACTGACCAGGCTTTTCTCCTCTTACCAGGATCCAGTGCCTGCAAACTGGGTTTTTTTTAAAATATATATTTGAAAATATATATTTATTTATGCATACAGAACTGGGGTACAGCCCAGAGATGCAGAGGCGGTGAGAGGATTCACCAGACACAGAGTGAGGAGCAGAACAGGTTGGCTGAGGAAGTACACTGCTGAGGGGAGCAGTGGGTGGGTCAGGAGAGGTCTGTGCGCCATGTGGGTCACCTCCCTGGCAGGTGGGGATCAAACTCATGCTGAAGTGGCTTTAGATTCTTAGTGCTGTGCTTTAACCCGCTGTGCCACCAGGGAGGGCCCAAACTGGGGGCTTTTATCAAACACAAGTACTATCAAAGTGATGGAGGAAAGAGAAGAAAACCTGAAGGACATATCACAAGGTTAAAACCTGATTCACACAAGGAGGTGGGGCAGGAGGGAATTAACATGACCAATAACTCAGCCAGAGAAATCAAGACCCTCAGCACCTTATCACAGGGCATAGGGCCCAAGCAGGTGTCAGACTGCTGTGGAGAGGGTGGGAAGCACAGACTTGAGGGTAAAGATAACTGAGATTGGACCCAATGGCCTATTGTGAAATATCTGGTCCTTTTATGATTCCATGTCATTATCCCAAATCAGCAGCAAACAGGCCACTCCACAAAGGAGTGAGCCCCTCCCACGGAGAAAAGAATAATATGAGTGCAGTCTCTGCACTGGCCAGGGCAGCAGTCCTCTGCCCACCTGTGCCTATGCAGGTTTTTCTTTCCACCAATGCTCTACCTCTGCAGGGCAGCAGCCTCCTGCCTGCCCGTGACCTGCACCTGCCGGGGCTTCTCTGCACTGACCTTCCTCAGTGGAGGCCACTCTCAAGACCGCCCACCTGCAACTATGCAGGCCTCTCTCAGCAAGCTGTCTCTTTCAGGAGACAGCTTCTCTTTTCTGTCCCTGTTCCTAATACACCTGCTCTTTAAATATAACTAACATCTCTGTGTTGTGGAGAAACTTGCCTGGGAAAATTGCTGTCTGCCGCTGAAAGGGAAGCTCTGGTGAAAGCTTTCCCAGAGTGAACCCACGGACCCTACACTCCAAACTCATCTCCAAAAACTACATGAAAAGGACCAAAAATTCCTATTTGTTTCACATAGCTTTATTATGGAACCCAACACCAGCTCCTTGGGAGAAGCAGGGTAACTGCTCTGAGAATAGATACATGGGAACTTGAGGCTAAATGTATACCCTCCATGACTCATGAGGTCTTCTCCCACAGAGCCAGTTTCCAGAATGGCATGAGTTAGATTCTGGCTTAGGAAAATCTACGAGATGCTCCTGAGAGGCTGGGTAAACACACTTTATGTCTCTGGAATTCCCACAAATGTTCAAGACAGGAAACATACTTGCTTCTTAGTTGGTGTGATTTCAGAAGCTCTAGGACCACAGTTCCAGGCATTAACACAGCCAAGGGTGTGCCAAAACACCACTCATATCCACATGCAATTTGAATTAGTTCCTTTTGCTAAACTTCCCATTCCGACCCTCACCATAGGTAGCTATGGAAAACAACTGACTCCGTACCTAACCAGTCTTCTCTAGGGAGACCATTTGGGCAGCTTTCACTGTTATTTTACAGCAATTCTGCACATAGGGATTGTGGTTTTTGAACTTCTCAGATTTTAGAGCTGGATTTCAACAGTTTCAACATAAAGACCAAATTCTATTAGCTTCCCTTCCAAGGAAGAAAGATTTCTATAAAAGTTCATGCTTATTGGTCCTCCCTGGTGGCGCAGCGGGTTAAAGCACAGCACAAAGAAGCTTAAGCCACTTTCGCAAGAGTTTGATCCCCGCCTGCCCCGGAGGAGAACCACATGGCGAGGCAGACCTCTCCTGACCCGCCCGCTGCTCCCCTCAGCAGTGTGCTTCGTCGATCTGCCTGTTCTGCTCCCCACTCTGCCTCTGGTGAATCCTCTCACCCTCCGCATCTCTGGCCTTACCCCAGTTCTGTATGAATAAATAAATAAATCTTTTTAAAAAAAGTTCATGTTTATCAAATAAATAGAATTAATAAATCATGACCCATTTTTCCCATTTAAAAAGACACCTTCGCTTGCCAATCAGAACTTCTGATAGTGTTTCCAGCCAGAGTTTAGAACTCATGTGAAAGTTGATGCTTTTCTCCTGAGAATCTGCAAAACTTCCATCACAGTTTTTGAAATTTTAAAGAAGAGTCTATAACCCCCATTATAATTTCAGAAACCAAAGATGTAGAAATTTTGACACAAACACTTGACTTTTCCTCCTTCCTATGGAGTTACCTTTATCAGGCCCACCTGCCAGGCAACTCCCACACTACTCAACACCCAACTAGGACTGAGATATGAGTGAGTTCACAAATTGCATGTGCATCAGAATCACCTGAAGGGCCTATAAACACACATATTCCATTCCTGTGCTTGTTTCTGACTTAGTGGGTCATGGCTAGAGCCCAAGAAGTTGCATTTGTCGTAAGTGTTCAGGTTGTAGGGCAAATGAAGATGCTGACGTTCACGCTACCGCCTCTGTGGCTATGACCTGCTGCCGGAGCCACGTGGGACCATGGGTGTGCGGCACACAGGCCTGACGGTGGACACCTGGATATGATGTGGGCATGCGTAGGTGTGAACACCTGTGCCTGGAGGCTCTTAGGACAGCATTAGTCAGAAACAAGGAGGAAGGCCATGGAGAAACAGCTAAAAGCGGGAGAGTGAGTGACTAGAGAGGCAGGACCAGATGACGATTCCGGAGAGTGCCCAAAGAGAAACAGCAAAGATTCTTCAGAGGCTGGGAAGCCGGCCAGCCTCCTGGTCCCCCCACCCGGCTGCCCTGCCTTGCCAGTCTGTGGGCTTATGCCATAACAGTTCGTGTCGAAGGAGCATTAAAGCTTGTGAAAACTAATGAGGGCTACTGGACTCTCCACCTGTTTGCCAGAATGGATAGAAAACCTGCCTTCTGCTTACTGGCACAACACAGGTAAGGTGCTATCCTGCTCCAGGTGAAAACTTACCTTCAAAATGAGACAAAATGAACATCTAGTGATGGGAACCAGAGCAAAGGTTGCTTATGACTCTGCCGGAGTGGGAAGGGGCAGGGGACCTTTGGAAAGAGATCCAGGAAAATTGCTGAAGGTGAAGGAAATGTTTCAGATTTTGATTGGGTGTTCAGACATATGGTTTTTAATCAATTATAGCTTAAAGAGACTGAAATAATTAAAGATGGGTAAAATATGTATATTTGAGGGTGTTTAATCAGGGTATTCTCTTTGATAATAATAACTATCAAAATGTCTAACAACAGGAAAATGTTTAATTTATGGTACATTCATATGACGGGTCATTGTAACAGTTATTAAAAAGTCACCTTCCGGCCCTCCCTGGTGGCACAGTGGGTTAAAGCACAGCACTAAGAAGCTAAAGTCACTTCTGCATGAGTTTGATTCCCGCCTGCCCTGGAGATGACC